AGGAACGGCCCAGGCAGGCGGCGCTTAGAAAAGAGGCGGTTTATTGGTGCGGGGCGGTACATAAATACACAGACGGCACTCACGCGCGGGCTGGCACGGACGGGGGGGCGCGCTGTACACGCTCGATAAACATTTACAGGTGTGCTCATGAGGGGCCGGCACCGGGACCCTCGGGGATGGGGCACTGGGGCCGGGGTGTCACCCCCTGGGCCCGCCCGCCCGCTGCGGTGTCTCCAGCCGGTCACCTGGGGCAGGGAACAGCGAGGGGCACGGGTGGGCTGGAAGGTGAAAAGGGAGGAAACCGGCTGCTGCCCCTTTGGGTTTTTTTGGCATAAGGTCATGTAGAAACGAGGGGTGTGCAAAGAGCTGGAGTGGGGCTGTACGATGCCAGCCCCCAGCCTGGTGTCCAGGCAGCCTGGGAACAGGGGTACAAAACTGATCAGTGCAGTCGTGAGCAACCCAGGATGAGGAACCTAGCTCGGTCTGAGCCCAGGGAGCAACGGGGCAGTGTCCAGCACTGGCACCCAGCACCGTGGAAAGAAGGGGGCCCCTTGTCTATATACAAATCAGTATAAAATCCTAACACGTACTAGTGATACAACATGAAATTGTGTGTAGGGCTGTGGCAGGGTCCTGGCAGTCACCACCGCGGCCCTGGTGAAGTGACCCTGGCAGCAGCTGTACATCTGCATTCCTTCACAGTCAGTGTCCTTCCCAGGCCCTGGCTGAGGCAGGTGGCTCAGAGGAAGCCTTCCTCCCAGGCCAGCCTCTGGAGAAACGCAGGGCTGCTGTTATGCCCTGTGTAAACACAGGAAATGCACATCAGTTCTACATGATGGGGTCCAGGTTAATTAGGAGAGTGTGATCCCACTCCAGGCTGGCTTGATGGCTTTTGGGATGCTATTGCTAGAAGAGCGTGGCCACATGAAGGGTTTAGTGGTTGCTCTTGCCTGCAAAGAACATGGCAGATGCTTTTACATTGATAGCAACTGAAGCTGAGGCTGCTGGAACTGGGGAGGAGAAAACTTTGTCACTTGTCATGACAGATGCTGAGCCTGGAAGGAAGCCAGGAATGGCAGAGAGGACCCTCTGTGTGGCTGCTGGAGGTCCAGGTGATGAAAGGGGAGCATGGAGCACACAGGCATCCCCCTCATCTGAAGGAGTTGGAGGAAGGTGTACAGCTGAAGAAGTCCTGGCTGATCTGGCGTGGGTAACCCTCCAGCACTTTCACCTGAACTGGATCGAACTTCCAGTAATCTCGACCTCTCAGGAAATAGGCAAAACCTGTGAGTGAGAGAGGAAAGGTTACAAAAGACAGGGTTCACGTGGCTCAGAGCTCTTTCCTAGCATTTTGTCTAGCTAACATAGGAGCACGTGCAGTACCAAAAGAGAGCCTGGAAGAGGCAGGAGATGCTGCTACATTTGTCTCACTTGAACTGAGACCTGTGGCTTACTCTGTTCTTTTATGCTGTTTTACTTCTGATGGGAGAGTAAATAGGATGAATTTTATTTTATATTTCTGGTGGTTTTAAATATGCTGTACCCATGTAGTGACCTGGTCCTGAGAGGGCAGAGGACATCTAGGACCTGAACAGGGCCTATGATAAGGAACTTGTAAAGACCTGCTGCAGAGCATCTGTTACTGTGGGGAAGCTGCCCTGGGATTTAGGCTCTGGAAGCAGTGGGGAGCCATTCCACCACATCCTCTGGGAGGAGAGAGGCAGTCACGGCACCTGTCATCCCAAGCACCCTGGCTGTCCCCAGTGGTTCTGTGGCACTGCCATACTGTCTTCAGCATGGGGCACATCTGGGAGGACTAAGCAATACCAAAAGCAGCCTGTTCATTCAGGACAGCTGCCTAGGCCGAAGTGTGGGCAGTGTTTCTGCTGTCTTCTCATCATTTTCTTTGTTGGGAGCAGTAAGAGCTGGGTGGGACTCTGTCTTGGTCAGAAGTCTGAATTTTCTCTATCAGACACTTAACTGTTGATTGTTGAAATTAATAATGATAGAACTTCTCACTTTTATGGGAGAAGCCTCCATTCCTACCTGCCCCTCTCTCTACACTATATGGCATGTGCTGTGTCTGGGAAGTATCCACTACTACCAGAAGTCTACATCTGCCTGATTCTTCCCGCTGGGCAGTGCTGTCAGCCTGAGCACCCACCCCAGAGCCAGCCACGGCCCTGCTGCACTGACCAAACTCATCCTGAAAGGCCGCATCGATCTCCTGAGGGACACCGCGCCAGTCGGCCATGGTCCGGGGGTAGATGTTGTCCACCTGGCGGGTGTGAGGGTTGAAGCGCCAGTAGTTGCCTCCACTGAAGATGTAGATCTTGTTCTTCTCAGCCCCCCACACCAGAGCTGCCTGCACAGGAGATGCAGGGAGGCCCAGCTCCACAAGCGGGGTGGGACCAGATACCCGTCTCTCGCCATCATAAATCCAGTACTGAGAATCTGGCAAGGAGACAGAAAAGGGAGACAAGGGGTCAGAAGCTCTTTGGTGTCTGATAATTTGGAAGTGAACTGTGCAACTGGTGTCTTGGCAGAACTCCCAGGGAAAGCTGTGCCTGAGAGGCAAAACCCCCAGCAGTATCATGGGCACTGTCACTGACGGGTGCCCAAAGTGCCATCAATGCAAGGAGTTGACTTCCCACCTGGGTCCAACCCGAGTATGTCAGTGGTGGGACAAGGAGGACCGTTTTAGCAGCTGTCTTTTCTCTATTTTTGGAAGTTATAATAAAAGACTTGGCTGGAGGGACCAGCCTCTACCCTGCAAACTCAACGCTTGGAGGAGAACATATGTGGGCATGCACGGGCATAAAGGGGCACGCAGCTGTATAGGAGCAAGCTACAGAAACCAGGAAAAAGTTGCCAAGCTGAAATAGAGACTGGAAGCATATTTCCAGATTAGATTAAAATGGGAATCTCTGTAATTAGCTGATGGCATGTAATACCTTCCCCTTATCTCATTTTAACTCATGGTAGGAGCCTGCCAATTTTAGCACTGTAAGTCCTTGTGTGCAGGTCAAGTGCTAAGTAACCTGTTCATGCAGGAACTCTGCCTGCAGAGCCGCGCGAGGCGCTTTCTGGTACACAGCCTCGTGGTGTGCAGACGGGGCGTGTGCACCCAGGGCAGCTGGGTGCCTCTGTCATTCGGCATCCCTGCTATTAAATTTACACTTTGAAAGAACATTAAAGAAAACAGTGAAGCTGCAATAGGGTTTGTTGCTGGCCTTGAACTCCAGAGCTGGCCAGGAAGAGGTTTGCCCTTGCCATGGGTGATTGGTTTTTAATGCCTGTGGTGGTTGGAGGTGGCCTGGCTCTCCACACAAGCTCCCTGCAGGCTCATTCAGTCTGGGGGTACTACAGAAGCTCCACACCCAGGTCTCTGAGGAGCAGCGAAGATGCTGTCCATCCCCTGAGCAGGCCTTGGGGGCACAGGCTCAGGAGTTTCACAACTGGTGAAGCTGCCTGGGGCTCTCTTCTGGCACAGCTTGGGAGATGGAGCAAGTGTTTCCTTCCTCCTCTGCCAGCAGCATTGCCAGGGCAGAGGCTCAAAACAAATGTTTATGTTCCAGAGGAGGAGAATGGGATGTTGCGGCTGTGTCTAAACTGAAAGTGACTCCTCCTCTTTTCCTCCTCAGTATCTGCTAAAAGTTTCAACTGAACAGAGAAGCAAACAAATAACAAGGGTTGCTGGATCGCTGAGGTTGCCCAGAAGGTTTATCCTCACAGGAACTTGTTGGGTCCTGAATACCCCTAAGAAAAGGGGATGCATTTCTGAGCCGTCTGATCCCAGTCCAGCTCTTACCTTGGAAAAACCAGATATTGCCCAGAGGGTCTTCAAAGGTGGCATCAACAGAGCTGGGGATCCCCTGCCAGTGGCGGGAGGCCAGAGCTGGGTAGCCGTCCTGCAGCTTTCCAGCTCGGAGCCGCCACACATAGCGGGACTTGAAGAAGAACAGCTCCCCTCGGATGGTGGATGCGGCATCGAAGGCTGTATCGCAGGCGTCGGGCTGCACAGACTGCCAAAGCACAGCCCATCAGGAGCTTGGACTCATGGGAGCCCCCCTCGCCCAGGCTGGGTTCAACAGACAGCAAGTCCCTGTGTCCAGGCAACTGTCCTGCTTTCAGCCAGTTGTGTGTGGGAACATTCTGCCCAAAGATCCCCTCCCCGCACATCCCGGGCTGGCTGGCGGTGCCAGCCGTGGCATCCGGACCTGGGCTCAGCAGCACCAGACACCAAACCACGTGTAAGCCTGCTGCTGGCCTCCCGGTGAGGGCAGTCCCAGCCGTGGCGTTAGAGGATGACATGGACAAGCTGTTCACTAACCTCCACATTGGTGATCTCATTTGTTTCGAGGTCTGGCTGGGGCAGCTCTGCTGGCTGAGGTGGGGTTGGGTCAGGATCCAGTTTGGGTTTCCCATAGAGATACTGGATACCTTGCTTGTCATCCTCACTCAGGCTTAGCGGGTAGCGGAAGATGTAGAAAGGAGACATCAAGGACTTGGAGACAGCCGTGTGCTGCAGACCCAAGACGTGGCCAAACTCATGAGCAGCCACTTGCAGAAGGTCAGTGCCTGCAAAGGGAGGAGATGGGAGAAGCTTTTACCTGCTTGTGTGCGATGGGGAAGCTGTGCCTGCAGAACGGACACCTGCCTCCTGGGCTCACTCTATCAGTTGTCAGCCACTGACAAAGCACTGAGGTACGTTGTAGGAGTCTAACACGAGGAAAGAGAAATTTATCTCCACTACAGTGCTCACAGGTTGTTCCCAGACTTTTCCTGTGTAGCTCTACAACATAGTTTTTTAAAAAGTCAAAGGGCGTAATTAAGGGATCCATTGGTTCAGGAGCACCATGAGTGAATTCAGACACTCAGGTATTAGCCTGGGCACGTTGGTAATTTGTAATTCTGTCACCAGGGCTCCTGCACCTCATTGGCTACCAGGAAGGGTTTTCCATGCACTTTTGGAAGGGAGAAATTTGCACAGAGAAGGAAGTCTGGCCCATAGATGTAGGTGGCGGGGTGGTAAGGTTGGTTTCTGTTCACCCAGCCTTGCAGCAGCTGTTGGCTACAGCTGTAGTGTATCAGGTCCCATTTAGTTCACATCCACTGTGGAAGATACCAGCATCAGCGAGGAAATGCTCTGAGATTAAAACTTGCTAATGGCTGTTGTCACACAGACAGCAGAGGGAGCTCATTTATTGCTTGTGTGTAGACTGTGTCAAGAAGGTGACATTTAGAAATAAATCCATAAAAAATTATCCAGTGTCAAGGCCTGGGCCTTCTTCACCAGACTCCAATAGATTTATGGGAGATCATGTTTTAGGAATACATGACCTTGGAGCATCTAGAAAAGGAGGGGAGGGAAAGTGGATTTCATTTTGAAAAAGTGTGCCATTTGGCAGGTGTTGTTTAGCTTCCAATGGATGCTTTTTGAAGTTGATGATAGATTTCAGTGAAAGCTGGAAGAAAGGCACATTAAGCAGCAAAGCCTGTGAACAGGGCTGTTTGTTGACAAGTCCCAGCGTATTTGTTCACTCGCCTTCAGCCAGAAATCCTCTGAGCTGCAGCTCAAGTGATGAGAAAGGCAGGGATGTGAGTCAGCCAGCTTTGCTGCTCCAAGCAGGATTTCCCTGCTGGCTCCAGGGGAGCAGGTCACCTCTCAGCACCTGGACGGGACAGGGGGGGTGCACCTGGGGGGAATGCCTGGGAAGGGCGGAGGGGAAGGTGAGCCCCTGTCTTCCTCCGCTGGTCAGCTCTACATTGAAGCGATGCATTTGCACAGCACTGACCCAATTAAATCAACACATCTAGGTCAGCTGAGAAAATGGGATTTCTGTGTCAGGGATTTATTACAAACTTTCAGACACTTCTGTTTAGCTTGGCAGGCTCCTCACTTGATGCTTTCCAGTGTTGGCAGATCAGCTGTGCTATTGTCATATTCTCTGGGGGAGGTGAACGACAGCACACCTGAAGGAGCTGTGCTGGGGAACATCACTCTGTCCCTCACAGAGGGTCCTTCACGTGGAGTCCCGCTTCCTGCACAGCTCTGGGGTGAGCCCAGGGCACACCTCAGCCCTCCTTGTACTTCTGCTCTCCTGTCTGTAAAATGAGACCATGGATTTCCCGGTCTCACTGACAGCTGAGTCAAGGACTTATCCTTGTTTATATCGTAAAGCTCTTTTCACCATATTAAATGGCAATTAGCTGCAAAGAGCTTTTACAACATTTATTTATGGAAGACGTAGGGGGGGAAAAAGGGCCATGGAATAGGCTGGATTCTGATGGGAACTGGCATCCATTTTCAGATTCTGGTTTGACTCCAACACTGTCTTTGTGGGAGAATGTAGGAAATCCTTCAGCAATACAGGCAGCCCCAACAGAGGGTGGAAAACAGCAGAGCCCACCCTTCGCTCAGGAGCAGAAATGCTTCTGCAGAAAGGTCTGGTGCTCTGTGGTTTTTGTTTTGGGTCAGCATGAGCAGGGTTGGAGACATAGTGGTCCTGTGCTCCATGCAGAGAGTCCAGTTGGCATACAACTGACAATGATGTGGACTTTGGGGGACCCTGTCTGAGCCCTGAACATCTATCAACATGGGCAAAACACTTGGGAAACCCCAGAGAGGCAGGGTTTAACTTGGGCTTTGTGATTGTTTCTTTGCCCCCGTAGATAAACTGGAAAAGAGGAGGAGGGGCTGACCTGGGTTAATTTTGGTGGGTCTTGTGGAAACTGATGCTTTGGGCACCGATCCAGATGGTCCCTGGCAGTACTGCAGTATCTCATGAGATACTGTGACACCAGACCCTAAGTGCCCAAGCAGAGAGCTACCAGCTTGGATCTATTATTAGCAAAAAGGAAAAAAAAGAAAAAAGAAAAAAAGGAGAAAAAAAGAGTCTTGACTCAATGTGGTGTTGTTTATGGTCAGAGCATTCCCAGGCCACAGGGACAGAGCTGGAGCCTGGGTAGTTTCCCTTTATGGACTTGTTTGAGGGCAGATGGTGAACAGTGCGTGCAGGGACTGGGGCTGAGGCTGTTCTTTGGAAGACAACTGTGTCACGCAGTGCTTGAGCCTCATTTTTCCTTCACTCTTTCCCTGCTTTATTTCTAATGTCTCCTGCCAATGCTGGGTGCAACTCCCAAGTGACAGGGCATGTGGCTGGTCAGAGGAGCCGTCTCTCCAGCTTCCCACACACAAGGGGAGTCCACTAGGAAGCCACAGTCCTGGTGCTGGGCACAGGCTTTGCTGTGGCTGAAAGATGACAAGAGAAGATCTAAACAGTAGGCTGGTAAGTGGTGGGAGATGACAGTGCACACCACAAAAATAATTGCTGCCTCTTAGTTTTACAGGGTCACACCACAATGAAATAATTTCCAAGCACACCGATAAGCATCCTGGGGCATCCACAGCTGCCCTTGAAACAATACTGTACCCAGGTTGTTCCCAATCGTCCAGGTCTCGTCATAGTCAAAATGGACGTCTCCCTCCCGGTGTGTCTTGGGGAAGAACGCGTGTGCCAGAATCCCTCCAGGCCCGTCAAAAGGCAAGTTGTCTCCATGCCAGTACCTGGAGGGAAGACACACTGCACCTCAGCCAGCCAGCCGTGTGGCTCCAGTGAACAGCACTGTATGGCCAAAGGTGGGGAGCCACTGCGAGGGGACAGCAGCTCTCGCTCCCATCCCAAGCTCATCCCACCAGTCCAGATCAACTGCTCGGAGCCCTTCCAATTGCCACAGTCCCAGTTCTGCATTGGGGCACTGAGGAAGCGTCACACCAAGTGCTGAGGAAGCAGAGCTCAGTCACAGCAAGCCCTGGGGAGTTTGTATGTTTTCTCAGGGATTTTTCCCTCCCACCATTCAGCTTCCAGCCCAAAGCTGCCCATGAAGCCTAAAGAATTAAGGAGGTGACTGCTCAAGCCAAGAGTAAGTTGACATAGCTGAGTGGCGGGGGGATGCAGAGGGGCAGCCAGCAGTGAGCCCAGCCAAACCCTCAGGTCCTCACTCAAGCCAAGCCCACTGTTGAATAAGGAAGGAAACCCATGGGAGATGTGGCCACTTTAGAGAGCTGAGGGAGGCACAGGCAAATACACAACATGCAAATTGCATCACTGCTTGGACGGTCTCCACTGCCTTTATTAGTTTTGTGCAAACATGCAGCAGAGGGAAGTCTTTGCCCCCGTGTGTATTTTGCCAAAAGCAAATTTCAGGAGCCAAGATTCATTTAACCAAGAAACTATATTTGTCTTTGGGCAGACAGTTACGTCTCAGTCAAGGGACAGGATGGAGGACCTGAAGATGGAAAGTCAAAACAAATGCTTAGGAAAACAGCCTGTGGGCAGAGAAACATAAATGTACCAGAAAAATTAATGAATGATCAGTAACGGTACTATGCACAGCCAGCATGGAACAGCTGCATTTACACCGAGCAGCCCACAACTGACAAAAAAAATAACAAAAAAAATCCCAGTGCATGAAAGCAGAAATTTGAGCCTCCATTTAAGTGCCTAAGTTGTGTGTTGACAGCTTTCTTCTCTGGTTAGAGGCTTGGGGTTTTGCATGCAAGGTTGCTTCTCTGGGAAGAGGGTGCTGCTGCCCGCCATGCTCACCGTGTGAAATCGATGACAATGTCAGCCCGTCCCTCCTGCACCTCAGTGAAGGTCAGCGGGGTCACATCGCTCCAGACTTTCAAAGCTTCCTCAATGGTCCTTCTCACTTTAGCTTTTACAAGTTGCCATGGGAACCTGATAATTCTGAAAGGAACAGACACGGGATGAGGAGAGCATTAGCCGCTGTCCCATGGACACTGCTGTCGTGAAGACACCAGCTGTAGGATCAGCATCACTAGGGCTGCCACTCTCGGCACCAGAACCTCTCCAGTCCATACAAGCACTGCTCTGCTGCCTTCTTCCAAGCAACATGTGCAGCAGATAAATCCCATCAGTGTTGAAACCCTCTGGCTGGTGGGTCCAGAGGTGAGCTCTCTAGAGAGCTTTGCAGATTTGCATTTTTCTGGAGTCAAGTGCTACAGCATTTCCCAGGTCTGTCCTCCGCAAACCCACCCCCCCAAGAGGTGCTTGGGAGTGGTGTGATGTCATTTCTCCTCCTCAATCTCTACATATTTTGCCCCTGGAAACTTGAGCTCACTCAGAGCAGACTGTAAGGTCTGCCACAGAGGGAGCTTGCTTTCTCTTCCATTAACAGTTTTAGTGTGTTCATCTCTGCTGTGTTCCTTAAAAAAAAAAAAAAAAAAAAAAAAAAAAAAGGAAGAAGCCTTTCTGTTATCTACAGCCCTCTAATGCTATGAGGAACTGTCTTCTGCATTTAAACAAAAGATGATTTACATGCTGTCAAGGTCCATACGTGCTCACTTCTCTACTCATGCCCCTGTGGGCATCTGGGGAGGCAGCACAACCCCCCGCAAGCCTGTTGAGCAGATTCGCCATTGAGAATGTGTGGGGTGATCTGGGCAAAATTTTACACTGAAGTTGTGTTTATGGGAACATCAGTAACAGCTGAATAAAAAGGTCTTTTTAAAATAAACTGTGAGGTGAGCCCACAGCAGGCTGGCTGCGGGGGCAAAGGCACAGCAGGAGAGGGCTGGTGCTGGAGGCTCAGCTCAGCACGTCAGGGGTTTGATGTGGGGAAGTGAACATATGTGCACGGGAGTGTCGATGTGGGACGGATCAAGGGGTGATGCAGAATGTGTCTGGGCAGGGGTGGGTGGCAGCTGTGTTTATGGGATGGTGTGCGTTAGGGGATGTGGAGGTGCTGGGTACAGCCCCGCTGGTGGTTTAGCATGTGGCTCGCTGCCCCCTGGCTGCCCTCCAGCTTTTATGGTCACATCACAGCGTGCCGCGCTCCAGGGAACACCAGGCTGAGAGGTTTTGGGGGAGGGAAAAGCAAACCAGCCTGACTCCTGTTTTGGGCCTCTCTTACTTGTAGGTGAGATCAGTCTTGTCCCAGCGTCCGCCGGAGAGCACGAACCGCTTCTGCCGGTTCCGCCCGTTCTGGCCGTCCGGCAACCCCGGGAGGTCCGGCACGCCGCAGCGCGGGGGGTTCCAGCGCGCTGCCGCCTCATCCGCACCCACGGGGAAGCCCTTGGCGGGCACACCAGTCCCCACAGCGTTCACCAAGGAAGACAGCCAAGGACTCTGCTCCTTCCAGGTGTGATGCTTTCGAGACAGGTCCTAAAAGGGAAAAGCAAAGCCCTGACGTCAGTGGTCTGGGAAGAGACGGCCGGCTGATGCAGAGTGGCCAATGTCTGCCCACAGCAGTCCTGCAGCGGTGAGTTCCACCTCTGCCTGGGGCTGTTCCCCCGCTGCTAGGGCACAGACTGCTCCCCACAAACATCCTCTGTTCCCTGGGCTCTGCCTGCTGCGAGGCCAGGTCACACCTGGGAGGCACTGTGTCATGCCCTGGCACCCCCTAAGCACTGAGTTATTTTTGGTCTGCTTTTCCTTGGCAGCTGGCCGGCAGGAAATGTTTTTGCAAGCTGTGGATGAGAACCAGACCCTTCAAGAAAGAAACAAATCACTAGGGAGTAAATTCTCGCCCTTTGCCCCACACCATTTATTCCCTCCTGGCCCTGGGTAGAGCTGATATTAATGGGAGAAAGACTTTAGTCCCCAGCAGTCAGTTGTGCTCCCTGCTGTCGCTTCTGTGGTGTCCCCTTGCTGTCATGGCATGGTGAGCAGGCTCTCAGCATGGCTAGGGGATATTGCAAGCTGGAGAGCAGGACAGGGATCTGGGGGGTGACTTAACCCAGCACATGGGCCAAAGAGAGCAGTGTCTGTCCCTGAAGCCCCTGAGGTCACCAGTTCTGCAGAGGGAGGGAAAGGACCATCCCCCCTTGCCTCACTGCACCTGTGGCTCTGCTTGCAGATAAGATCACCTGGGCTCTCCCACACTTAGTTGGAAAAGCACGGTTCCTCTTGGCAACATTGATTAACGCTAATTAGCTGACTTCCACTGGTTTCCCACCTGACAGCAGGACGATGGGGCTGCCATGAAACATGACCCAAGCGTAATCCTCAACCTGCTGTGATATGTGTGTGGTGAGAGGCACTTGGTCCTGTATCACCATGCTGCACAAGCCAGAGGTCCAAGCACAGACTTTTGCCTGGTTCTGTGCAGGCAAAAGGCATTTGAGCAGCAGGAAGAGCCGAGGTGCAGCAGTGATACACCCCTACTCAGATAGGCAGGCTCCATCCCACAGTGCTCCAGAGTGAGGACCTGGGGTTTAGGGGTCCCCTTCCTTCCCCTGAAAAATGCTGCCTTCTTCCAGGCCAGCAATCCTTGCTGCCCTGCTGGGGACACGAAGGTCAGCATGGCACGATGCCAGAGCTGCCATGATGCCGTGTAATCCGCGTGCTGCCGCCGCTCCGTTCCCTACAATGAGCCCATTCATGCAGGCTGGAATGAAGTGTGAAGCCCTTGGCATTAATTCCGCTATCGAGCTCCCAACTCTGCAGTGGCCCCGTGCCTCTGAGCGATACACAGATGGACAAAGGAGCCAGGGAGGTCACACAAGGTGCAGTTTAGGTGTCTGGCTTTTCATGTGTCTGTCACCACCCCAGCCTGCTGGCTTGTCCTCCGCAGACAGACACACTTGGTGGTTTGGCACCTGCCAGCCTTTGCCTTAGAAACCATCAACCCAATCCTGGTGTCCCAATGCGCTTTCAAACACTATGAGAACCATACCATGCACACGTGCAAAGAGTCATTTTACATCCTGAACAGCAAAGCCTACCCAAGCCACCAGCCACGGCACTTAGAATCCATCCAGTGTGTTAGTGGAAGGGGGGAGTAAGGACTGGCCGGCCCCAGAGGAGGCTGCACCGGTCTGCTCCTGCTGAACGCTGGAGCCCTGCCAGGTCGGAGGTACTTGTCTCTCTTAAAAGGAGCTCTCTAAGAGCTGCCTGGCACCCTGCCTGGGCTGGCAGCTAGTGCCTGAGAAGGACAGCTGGCAGGAGGAGCTGATAAGGTTCATCTCCTGGCCAACATCTTGCTCTCAGCCCTGATGAGACCCTCTGCCAAGCACATAATGGAAGCTGTGTCACCAAAGCCCAGCCTGGAGAGCTGCTAAGCTCCTTGCTCCTGGGTGTGCTCCAGAGCACCCACTGCGCTGAGAGGCAGGTCCTGCTGCCCGAGGACATGTGGTGATGAATGTGTCTGGTTTCCCAGGACCAGGAGGCGTGGAACAGCTGTTCTGAAGCACATGGGTAGAGTGGAGGTGGACCCTGGGGAGAGCCCTTGCTGTGGAACTGGGAGCACTGGGAAACCCTCAGGAGTTTCCCAGGTAGGTGAGCAGGCTGCGGCTGTCCCAGATGTGCATACTCCTGGGTTTTTTTTTGTCTCAGCTGTGCTAAGCATATTCCCCCAGTCTCCTGGGAAGGCCAGTTGTTTTGGTACTAGCTGGGGGCACTAGCATAAAGTGCAGATTACCACTCTCCAGAGCGAGGAGCAGAGAAAGGAGGAACTGCCTGTTTCTTCTTGCCCTGAGGGTTCCCATGTTCAGAGGCAGACCACAGGTAGGTTTTCTCTCTCCTCTTTGGTTAGCTTAACGCCACTGGCATGAACCCAGCTTCCAGCCATCCAAACTCCACCTTGCCGTAGGCAGGATCCTCCTGCTCTCGCCTGCCTGCCCTCTGCCAAGACCAGGCCCTGGGAGGGGACACAGGGTGGCCCTGCAAATGGCCCTGGGTGGGGGCAGGAGGAGGCAAGTCCTGCCCTTCTGTCCCATGTGCTCGCTGTGCCCCTAGACAAACAGCAAGTCTCCCTGTCGTCACTGCGCTGACATCAGCACGGTGGCAGGAAAGGGCTGGAAAATGCCACTGCAGGCACAGCCGGCAAGGGGAAATATGACAGGCAGAAACCACTTGCCAAACAATGCTCAGGAGACACATCAGGCTGGAGATTTCGGTCTCCTTGGTTGGACACACCTTGCTGCAGGCACTTCCCAAGGCTTAGATAACATGTCCTCTTGCTTAAGGTTGCATCCTTCCCACCCAGTCCTGAAGCCACCCTCTCTTGGGGAAATCCTGTTTGTTCTCCCAAGCTGTATGCTTAGGGACTTACTTAGGGCTGTGCTGCTGCTGAAGCTAGTACAGACTGCTGAGGAGAGGATGAGGAGGGCACTGGCTGCTGGGTAACTATCTAGGCATCCCCACTCTGCCCATCCCACCACCAGAGGAGAAAGGATTACTGAAGACAAGAGCAAAGGAAAAATCCCTGCAACCCCGGGCAGGCATTCAGACCAGCTGAGTGCAGAGTCAGATCCAAACCTCTGGCTAAGTGTGTGCAGCCACTTGTACTGCCCTCCCCAGTATAGCCCACAGTCAGGGGTGGCCACTGTGTGTGGGGACAGTTTTTAGGCAAGGGAAGAGGGCAGGGCTTCACAATAGAGACTGAGCAGCAAAATGCCCACACAACACAAGTGCAAAGGGGCTGCCAGGCCCGAAACCAAGGGTTAAGGGCAGCGAGGACAGCAGAGGAGCAAAGCTCTACAGGAAAGAGGGTTGTGCTGCAGGCTGGGCACAGCTCCTCGCAAAGAAGGTGCCACTTCCTGCAGCATTGTGACCAAAAGGCTGAGAGGGAACAGGAGGGAAAGGACAAATCCCATGGGAGAGCAAAAACCACAGTGGAGATAGACTGCCCACTCAGTTCCTCGCAGCTTTATCAGCCCTCAAGTGCTGCAAAACAACAGCCATCACCTCTGGGTCTGCTGGGGCCAGATGAACTCCAGCCAAGCTTCCCAGGAAGTGTCCCAGCCATCCCGAGGAGCCAGGGGCATCTTTAACCTCATGGTGTTGGGCTGCACTCACCCTCTGGAACCTGCCAGGAGGAGAAGCAGCTGAAGCAGAACATCTACAGTGGAGTATCAGCAACTCTGTGTTTAAATAACCTCAAGAGTGAGGCCAGTGCCTGGTACTGACAAACTCAGTGCTCTCCCCTCTCTGGGTCCATCCTCTGCTGCCTGCCTTGAACTTAAACTTGTCTCCTCTGTTGTGTACCCAATTACCTGGGCTCCTGTCTGCTTCTGCAGCATGGACATGAAAGGAGATCCCCCCTCCCCGTCAGACGAGAGTGACTGGACAAGTTACAACGCGAATCCCATCAGTCTTGGATACTTCCCCTGTCACTGGGGGCTGTTTCCTCTTCTGCTAAGAGATGAGCTTATGGGCTTTCTCCCCATCTCCCTGTCCCTCTGCTGCTGTTTTTCCATTTCTCCCTGCTTTCTTCTGCTACTCAAGAGTGTTTGTCGAGGCCCTGGCATTTGCTGCCTCTTTGGCCAATAGCATTATCCTCCTCTCACCTATAAGTCTGCACCTCGGAGCACTCCTGCCCTTAGTTCAATGCATGGGGACGGAGAACAGAGATGCTCTCTCCTGAAGTTCTCATACCCCACTTCTGTCCACTGACGGGTGGCTGTGCCCTCCAGGGGCTCTGCACCCCCTAATAGGATGCAGCAATGTTCCTGCCCGAGATCAACGCTGTTGTCCTGGTGCACAGAGGACCACAGCTAGCTTTTTGACCAGCCTGCCTCTCAGCCTAGTGTGGCTTTGCAAGGGTTGGATTTGAAAGTGCCGCTATAGCTGATGGTTAATGGTAAAACCAGAGCCAGCTCCACTCTAGTCAGGTTGTGTCCCAGAAGCAGGCTGGCCTCAGAAAGTGCTAATGCTGCAGCCAGAATTTCATGGCAGAAACAGATCATGTTTGTGGTCCAGTCAGACCCTGAGCTAAGTGTGCTCCTGCTCAAGGCACTGTTAGTGGAAACAACGGAAGCTCAGTGGAAACAATGCCTAGGGAGAGCCACCAGATTATTGATCCTACCTCCCCAAGAACAAGGCAATGTCTCCCAACGTGTCTATGAATTCTTTGCTTACACAAAATACTTCTGACTGGCTCCTTCGTGCTGAGCTGCAGCTCGGTCCTGCTGCAGACAGAGCCAGGGAGAACATAAAGGCTGAAGCCAAACTTTGGCCAAACGGGAGGTGCCGCAGAGCCTGCCCTGCATACACAGTTGGAGGTTCCTCTCCGCTCACTTCCCATACTCCGTGGCACCATTAAGCACTACCTCCTGGGGCCTGACCGTTTATTTCCGGATTATTTGGTGGTAGTTGTTGTTGGCAACAAAAAAAGGAAAATGTTTGTTTTTCCTAAGCAACATGGAACATGAAACATTATGGACTGCAAATGTTTATGCCCACAGACAGAATGAGATAGACCCAGGCTCTGATGTAACAAGAGAAAGCAAATGAATAAACACTAGACTATTTTTATTATCAGACACTTTAATTACGTGACAGTTTTAGAGTCTAGTCCATCAACAACACCATAACCAAGCTCCTGGTGTCACCCAAGCAGCAGTTTGCCAGAAACAGGAGTACTTACAAAGCAAACAAGCCCCAGGATGTCGGGATAGCAAAAGGTTTCAAGAGCCCTTAATCTGATGACCTAGAAATCCCCTTGAAACCAAGAAACCGCTCTAGGATGTGACACACTCCAGGCAGAGGAGGAAGGGTGTTGAGACGTTTTGTTCATTGTGCAATTGCATCCAAGCTAAGGTGAGCAATGAGCTATCTGTGCCCAGCCCAAGGACAACAGCCAGGACATCTCCCACTGGGTATGGCCACCTGGCACAGAGCAGCCCTCTCCAGAGCTATGGGGGATGTTGTATCCTCAGGGAGTGTATGCTGCTCAGGTGTGCAGGCTGGGATCTCCAGCCCATAAGACAAGCACTGCCCCCCTGCCCAATCTCCTGGAGATGCCTGGAGAGTTTTCTCCCTCCGCTAATTTTCACGGACCCACTTTTGTGAGATGTCTCTCTCCTGCCCAAATCCCTCTAAGAGGAAGAGGTCTGGTCACCTGTCTGTCCTTGTGGGTCTCGCCTGCACTAGGATCTCAGTGAACCTCTAAAAACATGTCTGTGGCCCTCAGTGAACCCCTGAAGCACTCTGCTTTTCATTTTGCCGGACAGCTATGTTCAAACTCAGCAGTGCGTCCATTCACGTTACAGGCCGAGCCAAACCCAGTGTAAGAATATCCAGGAACCCTTCATTTACCTGTCTGTGTACTTGGGAT